AGCTGTGCATGAAGTGTGATTTTTATCGTGGTGGAAGCAAAACAGCAAAAGTCAGAGGGAATTCATGACGACATTGATCAAATGTGAAGCGTAGTTTGATGCTTCTTTTGCTGCTGCCTCGGTGAATTTTGGTTGGAGAGAGACAAAACCTGCAGTTCAGAATCAGCGCAAAAAGACGGAAATGCAGAGCGGACCCGACACATCAGAATTGGTGAGCTCCAACAGCGTGTCTGTCTACGGGCTGTCGGGTGAGAAAGCCGAGAAAGAGAAAGCTGATTCTGATGTGTCGGTCGCTCTGTGTTTACGTCTTTGTGTGGAATCCATGTACCTGCTGTCATTTGCTGTTTGGTGGTTGTTGAAATAGTTTTGTGAGCTTTAATCTGAGAATCTGGCGTTTCTGGCAAAACACAGTTATATTTAAAAGTCAATTCAGGATTTAATGAATTGATATCGCTTTATTCAAGCTACTCACCTCCCTCTTCCAACTGCACTTTCAACTGGACCACGGCCAATCAGAGAGGTCCCGCCCCTGACTATCTCTGATTGGTTTAGTCCACGATAGGGGCATAATGTGTGTATGTTGTTGACCACACAGAGAGGGTTTTTTTGTTACCCGAACAGTTAGTCGCACTCTAGAACCCTGATATTTAAAGATCAGAGCAATGTAGTACACTTCTACTTGCACTATGCAACTAAACAGCATTACTGCGAGGTTAAGTTACCGGCAGTACACATGACCTACTTCCGGTAGTTGTAAAAAATAAAGGCTTTACCATTATAATCCGCTGTAATGCTATTATTGTGAAGTGCAAGTGGGAACATGGTACTTTGATGATCCTCGTAACTAATTGTCTGCTACAAACTCCTTACTATAAAGTAAACAATCACAAGCACCACATATAACATAGAAGCTCTGATAACACGGGAATGAAGTTATATGAGAGACCATACAACTAAAGCTAATCCAGGATAAATCATATGTTAATTAATGTTGACTAACATTAATTAATGTTGACTATGTTAATTAATGTTGACTAACATTAATTAATGTTGACTATGTTAATTAATGTTGACTAACATTAATTAACATATGAAATGAGCATGAACTGACACGTTGCACATAAGGCTACAACTAGGAAATACATTAGGTCCTAAATGGTAAATATATTACAGTACGAAGAAGAACTGCAGTTCTTGCCACTTCTTTGTTTGGTTAATTTTTCTGTTTGGTGGTCACCCATTGGTTGAGGTCAAGGTTTAAGGAAGGAAATGTCTGTTAAGCATTTGCACATGAATTAGTGAATATAATTTATTATATGTGTTAACTTTTCATAAGTAGGTCAGGGTGACAATCAGGGACCTGACCACTGTCTTTTATTCTTTTTTTCTGTCTGCAGCAAACTTGAGCCAGGTGGGAACAGTGACTCGTTCCACAGTGATGTTTAGCAGGATGTTCAACACTGCGTACAGCCGCCCTCTCCGGTGCTTCAGAACTACAGGAACCTTCTCTGGTCCAGCAACTTTGTTGGGTTTGATGTGGCTGAGGGGCCGATTCATCTCATGGGTCCCTGTCACAAGTGCAGATGATGGAGAGAAAAAGGAGTCATTTCTTTGGAGCATCGGATCACGGTAGGTGAAAATATTTCAGGAAACAAAGTTGACTAAATGCGAACATCCTTTTTTTTGACATTCCAAAAGCTGAAATCACAACTAATGATTCAGGGACAGCTCAGGTTGAGTAGTTAAAGTTAGAGAAGCATAACTGAAATGGTTTGAACAGGTGCAAATGAGGGTAAGTGGATATGCTGAATGTGTGAGGTTGAATAGAGACCTGGCAGGCAGGAGGACAAGAGGAAGACCTCAGAGGAGGTTCATGTGATAGAGCAGGATGCTCAGATGACCTGCTGTGGAGACCCACAGAGGAAGCAGCCAAAAGAAGAAGTGAAAAGCCAAACTGTAATCCCAAAAAGGTAGATTGTAGGAATGCACCGATACAGATACTGGTATTGGGTATCGGCCTCGATACCACATTTTCTAAAGTACTCGTATTCGTTAAAAGTCCCCCGATACCGGGGACCGATACCACGGTCTGAGACCTGTCTATGTTTGAGCGGCATGTAAGGGGTTAATCACAGGCGCCGAGTGCCCGCCCCCAGGCCCCGGCTGCAGCTCAGAGCGGGGAGAAGGCGAGGCGACACATATCAGCCGTGTGGAACTATTTCAAAGTGAACGAAGATGTAAAAACAAAGGCGGACTGCAAATTGTGCTCAGCGAAATTGTCCAGAGGAGGCTCAAAAGGTAGCGCATTTAACACAAGTAATTCAATCAAGCACCAAAATCCCAACACGACAACAAGTACAAAGAGTTTACCCTCGCTTATTTACCCATGCTTATTAGCACAGAGGAGCATAGCTGATGCTATAGCAGTGGGACGGAAAATAGTTGGGCATTTTAAACATTCCGCCTTAGCCTACTCCCGCCTCGAGGACATTCAGGGACAGCTCAACCAGCCAATAAAGAGACTGCAGCAGGACGTACAGACGCGCTGGAACAGCACGTATTACATGCTCCAGTCCCTCATTGAGCAAAAGCGAGTGGTGTATGTGTCCGAGCATGAACTCCCTGACTATCTCACCGCTCACCAATGGGCTCTTATGGAGAGGACTGTTGCCATCCTCGCCCCCTTTGAGGAACTAACTAAAAAAGTGAGCAGCTACGACGCACTAGCCTCCGATGTCATTCCAGTTGTGACTGTGCTAGTGTGACTTCTAAACAGAGAAACAGACGAACAAATTTAAAATTAAATTTAAATTAAATTTTGTTTTTTATAATTATTTATTCTGTAATATGTTGCATACAACATGCTTTTCATTTTAAATAAATGTTCTTAATTCCAAACTAGTCCCTTGTTTGTTTGTTTTTTGTTAAATTATAAGAGTAAAGCTGTTACCTGTAAATTTAAATCATGTTATTAAGTACTCGGTATCGGTATTGGCGAGTACTGAAATGCAAGTACTCGTACTCGTACTCGTTTCCAAAAAAGTGGTATCGGTGCATCCCTAGTAGATTGTGTTCATTTGAACATAGCGTCTAAACTGTAATCTTTTACAGTATTGTAATCTTTTTTTTCCAGGTTATTAGGTTATGGTGAGATCCTCAAACATGATCTGATCCGTCGAGGATCTCCTGATGTCTACCAGCTGAGAACAGAGAACAAGAAGATTGGATGTGGTGTGACAAAAATGACTGTTGGTAAAAGAAATCCAAACAAGTCAAACAGAACCATCTTACTTGTGGGTGAAACAGGAACAGGAAAATCTACTCTAATCAACGCTCTGGTCAACTACACCATGGGAGTGCAGTGGGAGGATGAACTCTGGTTTCAGATTGTAAAGGAGGAGAAAAGAAGTCAGTCAGAAAGTCAGACATCAGATGTGATTGTGTACGAGATCTTTGAGTTTGAAAATAAAACTCTGCCCTACTCTCTGACCATCATTGATACTCCTGGATTTGGAGACACCAGAGGGTCTGAACGAGATGCCGTTGTTGCTAATAGATTACTTCAGTTGTTTGAATCAGAGGATGGAGTTCATGAAGTCCATGCAGTGGGTTTGGTGATGAAGGCGAGTGAGAATCGAATGAGTGACCGACTGAGGCAGACCTTTGATTCAGTGATGTCTTTATTTGGAAAAAATGTGGAGAGAAATATTGTAGCTCTGATCACACACTCAAATGGAGCAAAACCTAAAAATGCTTGTGAAGCTCTTGAAGCTGCAAACATTAAATGTGCCAGAAATGAGAAGAATGAGCCTGCTCACTTCCTGTTTAATAACTCCCAGCATGAAGACCGAAAAGAGGAAGAAAAATACTCAAAGTATGCTCATGAAGTTTCAGAGAAAGGAATGAGGGAGTTTACAACATTTTTGGGAAAAGCTGTTCCTCAGAAACTGCAAAAAACTGTGGAAGTTCTAATAAAAAAACAAAGACTGGCAGCATGCATCAAAAATCTGCAAGACAGAATCAAACGGACTGAAGGGAAACAGAGAGAAATCACCGAGATTGAACAAGCTCTGAAGATATATGAAGAAAACATGAAGGCGAATGAGAATTTCAAAGTAAAATATGACGAGGAGTATACAGTTAAAGTAAACATAAATGGTGGGTCGTGGGGTGTGATTTTTTATAATGCAGCTGTCAGCTGTACATTCTGTCAGGAGACCTGTCACCATCCATGTGAAAATGCCTGGAATGCCGAATGGTGTAGAGTCATGAGTTCGGGCCGCTGCACTGTTTGTACCAACAATTGTCCGGCAGCAAATCATGTGAAAGCAAACTGGATCTATGAGAACAGGCGCAGGACAGTGGAGAAAACCTTTGAAAATATAAAAGAGAAATATGAAAAGAATAAATCACAAAGTGAGAAGAATTTGAGTATTTTAGAAAATCTTGAAGAGGAAAAGAACCGACTGACAGCAGAGAAGTCCCAGTTCCTGGATAAGTCCTATCAGCACGTAGTCAGACTGGAGCAGATCGCTCTGAAAGCTGATTCAGCTTCCACTGTTGTCCACTTGGACTTCCTGATTGAGAAAATGAAGGAGAGAGGAGACACCGAGAAGGTCCAGAAACTGGAGGAGATAAGAGGGAGAGAGGATAAAAGAACCAGCACAATGTAACATGTAAAACACCTCCATTATAATTCTATGATTCTTGATTCATTTGGTATATTTCAATAATAGTTAATCTATCAAAAATGCATTTAATATAGAAAATGTTAGATAATATTTAGAGTGCTATGCATGATATTACTGGTTCTTTCTAATCAGTGATGTTGAGAATAGATTCCTTAATGTACATCAAAGTTAAAGAGAATATAGTTGTGATTGCTTGCAACATTATAATATTGTGGTAATGGGTGTAAGGATACAAAATAGAAAATAGGCCTGGGATAGGAACAAAGAACTGGGGTGCAGGGCAGGAGGACAATCAACCCCCACCCCCAGGCCAGGAAGCAAGAGTTACTGAGGGTGAGGGGCAGACAAAGGGTGTCAGCACCCTTGGCCACTGTACTAGTGTATTTCCATTGTGGGGGTGTTTACTGTAGGGGGGAGGAGACCAGAGGTTATAACTGTAACTGTTGTGTGGAGTTCTTTAGATCAGCCTTTAGCATAGGACTGCATAGAATGCAGTGTGCTGATCTCCAGATGCATCTGTAAGAATAATGGGTAATAAAAGGTTTGTGTAAAACATGGAAACATCTCAGCGTGATCTCTACCAGGACCAAAAGAATCGCAGAGACCGGCGTTGTCTCAACAATTTGGTGCCGCAACCCAGATCTTGGTAATCAACACGTTCTCACTCCCAACTCGTCAAATGTGTGACGCAAGGTCAGGCTCCCTCTGCTTCACTTATCGACGCGCAGGGTAACCCCTTGCGTCGAGAATTGACGTGCAGGGTCTTCTCATTGAATACTATAGACCTCCCTAAACGTTGTTTACTGACGACAAGCGATTGCCACGGAAGAGCCTGTTGTCCGTATATTTATATATTTCCGAAATCACATTGTAGTGACGTATACTGAACACAATAAATTATATAATGTAAACAACTACCTGA